GGCTAATCTAATGCCTTGTTAGAAGCCTGAAGAGTGCCTGTTGTTGAAACCGACCTGGACCTAGCTGGGATCGGGTTTTTAGTTTTTAGATACCAATGGATCAGGGAACTCATTCAAGCAGCAGAGATGATTATCCGACATCGATACCCTCGCTGACGTCCTATCATCAACATCCCATCTCTTGGCACATCATTGATTCAGACTTTGTTATCTTCATCTCCTGTTTTCATCATGAATATCGCATTTGTTATCTCCGTCTGCCATCTTCCCCCCAATGTCTCCTTTAACATTCTTGCTTTACTTCGATCAGACTTATCATCATCAGCGGCGTATTATAATCACTATTAGCATTACTACCAAGCATATTGGCAGTTGATGATTCGTTCTACGAATAGAGTTAATTGACTTTCAAAATCTCTCTTAAAAATCACCATAAACTATCAAGACTGTTTTCATTCTTATAAAAATCTTCATCACCATCATCATCATCACTACGTCCAACAAAAATAGATCTCGAACAAAACAATTGTTATTATAGAGCTAGTGCTAGTAATGAATGAGGGAGGGATAGGAGATGAGATAGGGAGAGAGAGATACATACTGATAAACATCCAGAGACAGTGCAAGATAAAAAGTTACAAACATTGCCATTATCATCCCTCAAATTATCATACAACATAACAACACCCTTGGCAAGACCGTTCCAATATTCCTTTCTCTCTTCAAGTGAATCCATATTTTCAAGCTTTTAAAACAAGAACACGATACAGACTACATTACTTTGCTCCCATCAAAGTATTATATGTCTGTCATCCTCTCTTGGAAAATGCTTTCAAAGATACAATTTAACAAGCAATGACTACTCAAAGAGTGGATTTACTAATCCCTTCCAATCCCCGCCACAAACAACATACAGGTTCAATGAACTAGAAATCTATCGGCTTGCAAAATGAAAATGATTTGTTCCTGATTTCAAAATATTCACCAATGTAAAAGCCTGCTGTCTTGTCTCGACAACAGTTGTCTTCTCAGTGGGTTTTATGGAAGAGATGAAACAGTTTACGGCGTAAGTCTTCTCGATTATGAGAGATTTCCGAGGTAATAATTCCCCACTTCCTAAGATTTTGAGGAACATTAGATACCAAAATAACTTGATCCCAATAATTCAGATTAATCATGAAGTGCGGCATGTCTTAAGTCACAGATCATGTGCTCTTACTCATCGACCCAGCGATCAAATCTGAGAGGTGTGAACAGAAATATACACGTCGGATGAGCTCAAAATGTAACGAAATAGACACTGAAATTTGTATATCCTATATTGCTTCTATCACTCAATTTATCTTTTAAGTGAGAGAGAAAAATTGGACCCATCTTAGAAAAATGGTTATATTTTCAAATCAGGTTTTTGCAATAAATTCAGAAAAATCAATAACTAGTAACAAAATTTACATGCTTTACTAATTACAAGATGGGAATTAGGAATGAGTTCTATTACACAGTCAAAAATTATATACCTATGACTATAGTTTTATGAGACAGTTTCAGTGTGTAAATCCAGAATAATAATGGTTTGTATTCAAATCTATAAGTTATACATTTTGAAAGTTAAATGAGAGCAACCCCCACTCTAAATGCAAAAAAATCGGTGAAGTCACTGCTTGCATAGCTTGGGTGCAGGAGGAATGAGTCAAACGGACCTGAATATTTCATATTTCCCCCATCTAAAGATTCACAGAGGCAGATGGCATAGAATTATGGATGAGGGAAGACCTCCTATAAAATGGCTGCACTGTTTCCAAATGATATTTGCTCCTACTCAAGCTATCATCTAGTTATGTTGAGTACTGCTTGCATATAATTAGTGCTTGCTAAGAAAATTATATTTAAGTGTCATGTCATTGGGGCAATGTTAATGATCTAGAGGTTTTGAAAGAAATAGGTATGGTAGGTGGGATGAATAGCAGCCTTGATGAGCTAAAAAAAAAAGAGGAAAACTACAGGGAAATCTTTTATAAAAAATAAAGGAAAATAAAGAGGTGGTAAAAAAAAAACATATGATCAGCAACAGGGAAATCTTTCTTTTTAAGTTCTTGTAATCTAAAGAAGAAGTATTTCTATTTTTTTTTGTCTATGAAAATGAAAAAAGAGAGGTAATTATAACATATAATCCTTGATTTTTTCTAATGCACAATCATTAACTCATACTGTGTCCGCACACCCCATTATACTGATGTACCACCAACGCATCTATTGAATCAACATCTTTAAACATGTAAACGCATCTTCGAGAAGAAACCATTCTTGTTTGTTGGGTGGGGAGGGAGTATGATGTGCAATGCTAAATCGCTTCAATCAAAATGGCTGTATTGCGATATCTTGTCATGTAAGGGGCAAGATTCCATGATGAGCTACCATTCTCGAGTGTCGGATATTGAATTGCATGTGAAAGAATCAAATAGCACCCCACCCCCAAGGGCTCTCTTAAGGGGGAACTAGGCGGGGCTATAGCTATATAGGAGGAGAAGGGAGAGAGAGTAAACCAGCAGAAATCCAGCTTCTTTTTGTTCTTTTTTTATTTTCATTCTCTAAATAAGGAGACAGTGAAGTGACCTTCATTTAAGGAAAGTCTCATGTTTCCTGAAAAAAATCAATAACTCTTTCCTAAAAGAAGAAACAGTGGAAACAAAAAAACAGGGTATAAGCTGAATAAATGTCTGAAAGAAAAATGTCTGCCATGTCTAAACCTTTATGAAGGGTAGCGTTTAAACCATTCACAAAAGACCAATTAAGCCAAAAAGGTTTGGTGTTAGTTTTCGTTAATGGCTCTATTGTTTAAATTGTCACAAATGCAATAAAATCAGTCTTTTCGTTGAAAAAGATTCTTGATTGAATTTGAATAAGAGAAAGTTACCAGCATACAAAGGGGATGTCCCGATATATATCTGACTGTACATCTTAATCATGTAAACATGTTACAAAGTAAATTTATTTCTTCCAATATTAATTAATGACTTGTGGCTATGACATGTAAAATATGGATGCGGGCAAAGATTAAACTTGAATGACAGAAGTGGAACCTGTGAATGACGTAAAGGATCTAGTTTTAATTAGGAAAATTGGTTCACCAAAGAAACAAAAACCTATTTCTTAAGACCATTATGTGTCCTTCATTTACATTACTAGCAATAGTTTGCTTTGGTTTCACAAGGGAATGGTGGAAATATCCTAGACGAGAGTAAAAGAAAAAAGGAAGGGATTCGGCAGAGAGATGACAGCGGTAGAAATATTGATAGAAAAGTTTGAATGATAGAAAGAATCATTTGAGCCCCGGAGCCTGTATGATATCCAATCCCGCCGAGCCTCTCTCCCCTGACATAAAGGCCAACCCTGCCCGGGTCTGTGTCACGTTACTAGCAGCTTGTTACCCACGGCGATCCATCTCCTGCTACCAACCCTCATCCTCATCCTCCTCTTCCAACTCCGACCGGCCAGCCCGTATCTTCTCATTGACTGAGCAAGCCAATTTTGAGGCGGTATTGTGGCTTGCTCAACCGGCTCCAGCTCACAGCTGTATGCCTGCCTGCCTGCCTGGCTGGCTGGCCTGGCTTGGCTTGGCTATTCTGCTGGAGTTAGCTGGGTTACAAGCTACGCAGCATTAGGAGATGGAGAGAGATGAGGAGGATGGGGAGGAGAAGGAAACGGAGAGTATATACTCCATGGCTGATGTCCTATTACAGGAAACTATATTTCAGGGAAAGAGGATGGCTGCAGTTCTATGGGTAGAGTGCCGATCATCGAGAGAGAGTTTAATTAAGTAGGAGTATCCTATTAACCCGCCTCCTACTTCTTTGGGGTATCCTTTTGCATGCGTTGCCATGGTGATGCATCCCTGGTTGGGCCTCCCCATCCCGTATGTTTTGTGTCACAATAATTGTTCAAAATTAGGCTAATTCTTTGTATTGTACCTCTAATGTTACTTTTGCTACTCCTATCCCCAGGATTGTTCAAATGGATTTTAAAAAATGAGACGGTCTTGTGCCTTGGGCGAATGAGGAGCATTTGTAGAAGGAAGGGGGAGGAGGATAATAGGTGATGGGGTAGGCTTTCTGCCCCCTAGGCATATTTGTGGTGCCTCCTCACCAGGGGAAATAAAAAACCACAAAAATGGTTCTGAGAAATATAAAATATTTGCCGCGGGGCAAATTTGCTATTCTTAGATCAGTGGCAATAGACGGGAGACACCACTGCAGACAAGGCAAATCTGTCGATGAATTGGCGGCTGGTTATGATCTATTTCAGTTTTCTTAAATGACAGATGACGACACGCTTTCTGTTGCGTCTATACACCTTTTGCTGCTGATAGGACCACAACAAATGTTTATAAAAATTGGTTTCCAACAGAATAACGGAGGACCTTATTCTAAAAATAAACTCATTTTCTCTGAAATAATAAAAAATCATTAAGGTTATTCATAATTCATTTATACATCTACTTTCAGCATATTGCACATACACACTAGTACATACGATAACCTCTCCAGTCTCCACAGCATTATAAACCTAATTAAAAAATAACACGAATGCAGGCCTTTCAAGAAAGTTCCCGATCGTATTTAGCAGAGAACATTTCCTACTGATATGTGCAAACATGATATTTACCTTTTTATAATCTATACCAAATTTCTGGAGGCAAAATAACTAAGAACATCAGTCTTAAATAAGTCCCAAGTTAATGATGGTGGTTATTTTACCTGACTGCTAAAATGTTAGTAAGCAGCTAGAAGACCGACTGTTAATAATAATAATATTGGATCTTCTAAAGTGCACATATCCACCATGCAAGGCACTGCATTATTACCCCGGCTCTGCTAAGCTACCAATGTCATCAGTGCTCACTGCATTCAAAAGATTCCTGGGTGGAGAGTGGCAAATGTGGATCAATGTCTTGCCACTGCTTATAACTATGTTATGTAAAAGAGAAAAGAGAAAAGACATACCAGTTATTGACTTGGAGGATGGTGAGACCTGTATCTTGAGCAAGCTGTTTCTTCTGTTCCTCTGAAGGGTACGGATGCTGCAAGGAGACAAAGCAAAAAAGAGAACTCAACAAAACCATATCCGTCTCATTTCATCACTTTAGTGTTTACTCCTCCCCTCCCTTAATCTATTAATCCACTTTATACAACACCTACGTGGATCCTCGTCATTTGATTGGACGATTGTTGGTCACATGATATTCAATAGATGGTATATTGCACGGTCGTGCATTTTTGGTTATATGCGCCATGCATTTTTGGTTATATGCAGACTGCGTACCTCTCTGCTGCATGTGCGCGTATCCCTGCGTGTATCTGACGCGAAGGCAATCTGCATGTAATCGAGAAGGCTTGACTCGAACTTTAATTTATCTTTATAAGGAGTAAAGCATAATTTGTTGATTAACGTTCTATTAGGTCTTCTTCGATGTTGTATAAAACAAATAATGAATGTTTTTCATTTGTTTAATAGTGCAAATATTTTCATTCGTTGAAAGATTAACGTTAATTCTATTCAACTCGGCTGACGCCTCGTTGAATAGAATGTTAATCTTTCAACTCATGAACATATTCGCACTATTGAACTCATAACCATTCATTATTTGTATACTATTCATTCATCTGTCTGACTATCTGTCCCTGTTTGCTTACGTAGTGTCTACATGGCATGATTAACTTCGAACGAATTATACATATCTAATGAAGAATAATAATAATCAGTATCGGTTGTATGTACCCAGGGTAGCCACATTAATATGGCATGATTATCATTGAGCAAGTGAGAAATATCTACTGAATACTATACTATCTAACAGTACACATGTATATAAAAGCCTATATCGCAGCACGACGGATGGAAATTAGTAAGTTCCAGTAAAATATAATCCTAACTGGTAATACAGATATTTTCCAGGCAGGTTAAAATTAACACAATGATTTCCATAAAAATTAACTTACTGACGTGATAAAACCAAATTTTCATTGTTTTAAGCATTATCAAAAAGTGAAAAGGGCATTAAAAATGAGAAATAAAAAAAATAATGAAAAAACTAAAAACACCTAGCTTGTACTATTCATAATTACTTTCTAATACGTAGACATATCCGGACATTAAATTTTCAGTACTCTCAAAATGGAACCCATAGAGTAACATAAAAATGGAACAGGAAATGAAATCAGTTATGATAACCATCTCCCAGCTATTAGCCTGAAGATATTTACATAGGAAACTTTCTTCGTTTGTTTTTAGAATATTCATCCTCTGCAGGGACTCCATAAAAATACAGCACAATTAGGCTGGAAACATAAAAGCATGAATGATTATCATCTTGACGTAAGTGACAAAGGAAATAGATTCAGAGCAATACAGGTGAATTTTCAATACAAGAGAAAGGAAAGACAAAAATGAGTGTAAAAGAGTTCTTGAATTCAAATCTGAAAATGATTAAGATCTGAATAAAATTGGTAAAAAAAATAATCACCACACATTTATTAGGTGATGAACTTTCTCTCAACTCTATTATTTTTGTGGATGTCTTGTGGTCGCACTCTATTTCTCCTGGAGAAGTTTGCAAGACCTTAAGAGGTTCCAAAGAGGTTCCGAGAGCAAGGCAAGACGCAGGATTAGCGGAAGCAGTAGAATTGCAGGGATGAAAAAAAAGGAGGTCACTCGTAAAACTAGGTGCGCTATCAGACAGAGACATGCCCAGATATCAAATGTGTGATAGGAAGAAAGATAGATAAAAACAAAGAGAGAGGGAGAGATAGAGGGAGAGAGCAAGGGCGGGCGAGAGAGAGAGAGAGAGAGAGAGAGAGAGAGGGAGGAAGAGAGGGAATGACGGAGGGAGGGAAGGACGGAGGGAGATACAGATCCAGACAGACAGAGAGATGCAGACACAGAGAGACAAAAAGAGAGACATATAATGTTAAGAGAGAAAGAAGTAGTTAAAAACAGGAAGAGAGATGGAAAAGTATTGGCAAGAGAGAAATACAGTGAAATCGAGTGCTTTTCTGAGAAAAAAATCATATGCACGTATATACTAGAGGGCAGGTACTGAATCCTAAGGAAGATAATAAAGTTGGATCAAAACATATGGGATGGTAAAGAGGAAAGACAAAATGAAAGAGAAATAAACAATCAGATAGAGAGAGAGAGATAGAGAGAGAAAGAGAGAGTAAAAATTATAGACTCAAAACTAAGGCCAAATAAAATGATTGGAGGGGGAAAATGTTTTTGGTTACAATCCAACAAAAATAAATGTGAGTGACCTCTGGATGCAAGGGAATTGAGATATCTTCTCAGCATTTCCTTCATATTTCAACATTTTTCCTGTGTTATGGTTCGGGGGGTCCCTTGGAAAATTGCAAGCACTCCTTCCAAAAAAAAATTTCTCTTTTTGTTTGATAAAAAAAATGTTTACTCTTTTAGCTTTGTAACAAGTGTAATCAGCGATTTCTACTTGAAGAAATAAAATAGTTATGCTTTCTTGTGGAACTCCATTTGGATGTTCCTATTCAATTAAAGAGAAAGAAACACAGAAAGACAAAGAGACATGGAGACGGAGATGGAGAATACCTTTAATGTGTTTGCCAACTGATATCATTCACAAGCAGTAAATTACACCATTCTATTTTCACACAAATCATGAACTTCTTGGGATTGCAGCACTGTTTTGATCAGTGCCACGATTATGTGGGGAAAATATGGTTACTTCTTCCGATGACCCGGCCTCATCTCATGATTCCCCTTGTCAGAACCTTGTCATGAAGACGCATGCAGATACATCAAAATCTTACACCTCCCAGCTCAAAAACAATCACACCCCACAATACGTTCTGCACGCTCGTTAATAGACTCGCGGGCAAGCCCACGACAGGACGACATCGTATGCGCATTAATTTCGACCGGGAATGCATTCGCACGGGGCCGACGTGGACGGGGAAGCCGCTCGGTGCGCAAAGTCACGGTGAGATGCTTCCCAGAGCCCGTATTCACGAATCATCGACAGAAGGGGGAGGGAGGAGGGGAAAGATGATGGTCGAAGAAGGGGATGGTGATGAGGAAAGGGGAGAGGGGAAAAAATGGAGAGGATCCCATGAAAACAAAATGAGCGTGTGCTTTTGCAGGGCCTGCCACGGCTGGTGCCTGGAAGTCTGATCCTATTGGACGTACCATTTCACTGTGTTTACCCTACCTGCCAACCGACCCAGCGTTTCAATTATTACCGACGGGATGATTTATGGGTTGCGAATCCAGTCGATAGCAACAAACTCCAAAGAGAATGGCTGGCTGGCTGAGCAGCTAGGAGTTGAGAGAGGGTGAGCTAGCATGCTCATGATAAACAACAATGCAGACGACTGGAGAATGAACAGCCCTTAGTTAACTATTCCTTTTCAATTCATCGTCGTCGAAGCTCCTAATGCTAATGTGTTGCGTGGTTACCAACGCCAGCAAACTCGCTGCTGCAATTCCCCTTTTTATGATCAACATAGCCTTTCAAAGGGAGTTCATGTACACGATAAAGAATGCTGCCCTTTCAAACGACATATATTAGAACCATAGGAGAATTGTGGTCTGTACGTGGCAAGGACAATGTGATTTTTCATACCCCTCTGAAAATGGAATTGGGTCAAAGAATTTTGAGAATGGGATCACAAGTACCGCTTCAGATTCTTTAAAAATTTGGAAAATGAGAATAACATACAATGGTAGATTGTTACATTCTATGTCAATATATTGCAACGTCAGAGGAAAAGAGATTGCTAATATGTTCTGTCCCAAAATGCATTCTTAATGCAAGTTCTCCTCATATGAGAATAAGATAACAAATGTTGAAACAGCCTTTCATATGATGACTTTATAAATATAGAAGATTTATATTCAAGGCTAGTTGATGTTTCTCTTAGTCAAAGATGTTAAATTTGTTGATCTATGCCTGTCATAGCACCAATGCAGTAAACCAGTTTAAAAAGTGCTAATTAGGCTGAAGAGAGATATAAACCACTTATAGCAAGATGCTGGAATAGCCACATCCTCATGATGTTGACTCTCTATACACACAATACAGACTTAAAGTTTGCTGATGCTTTCCTGACATATCACCAATAACATTCATCAAAGGCATGGCTTACCCCTTAAGTAACTACTAGGTTAAAAAGGAGGTAACTCACTGTGAGATGCTGGAATAGCCACGCCCTCATGATATTGGTAGCTGACTTGGGAAAGATGCCTCTTTTCTTCTGTCTCTTGGCTAATCTGTCATCATCATCATCCTCCCCTGTTCCATCTCCTGAGCCAAGACTGTTCTCTAATCCTCCATCTATTGGTACACAAAAGAGGAATAAAAGGAAGCATTGGTTGAAATATATCATTAAACAGTATTCACTATTTTCTTTAAATAAGTTTTAGTGATAAATTGCATTTTTAAAAATCTAAACCAAAATTTGTTCACATTGTCAAATTATTGCAAGTATTTTGCATAATGTATTCTGTCATTCCCCTCCTGGAGGAATGTTACCAATTTTTGATGATGCAGATAACTTTTATAGTACAGAGAGTCAGAGTCATACAGGTGATTCAAATCATAAAAGTTAAAACGGAATATAAAAGAAAGGATACTTGAATACAATGTAACATTTAATTGTCATCAAAACAAAATCGTAGCTATGAAAAAGGGATGTTCAAACAGAAATATTATGACTTTCAGGAAAATCTGACCCTTCAATTTTTTTTCCTTTGACTGAATCCACAATCATTACCCCAGAAGTTCCGCTCAGTTATTATTGAAAGCAGAAAGAAAGAAATCATGCCAATAAAGAGTGATTTGCATTGTCCGAAAAGACAAACTTTCATTTCATCTAATCACACAGGACTCCCATACGCAGAGAAAAAACCTCCATCTATATTCTGAAGAGGACGACTTTGATCAAACACGAAATAAGCAATTTAAGCTCGTCCTCAACAAACAGTGATTTCCCTTGCTGCCCTCCTACGTTCACCACCGTAGAGAGCTAAGAAAATAAGATGTTGGAAGCAATTTAGGGCAGACCGCTTCCATCTTTGTGATTTGTAATAGATTAAAATGAGAGTATAAATCCAGAATACTTGACACAGGATGTGAAATATTTACGTATACGTATTTATGAAGCAGAATTATGCTCAGAATACATGCATTTTGTGGGGAGGTTTTTCAACCATACCTGAAATAGATGAAATATTCTTATCTTACACAGGTTTACCAAATGTCAGATAATTCACATGATTCCAGAGATATCAAAGTACTTGTCTTGCCCTAGTTTTGACCTAATTCAAGTGGATTTGCATTGCATCACTGGTAAAGTTAGCATGTTAAGGTAATGAAGGATAGTATATTTCATAATTTTTTTCTTTTTTTCCTTGCCTCGATTTATTACATGCTATCTAAGTTATTCAGTCTTTAATCAACTCTGTAACCATAATATTTGCGTACTCCTTTGGCAACTCTTTGTTTGTCTGTTTTTGAGCTTATTATGCCCTCTTGCCTCTTTGGGATGATGTGACCAAAAATAACCTGAACTTTCTTCTCTCCCCCCCCCCCTCCCCAAAAAACTTTTCCCTGTTTCTTTCCATATTCTCCCACATCGTTAAAAAAAACCCACTTTAATGTAAACTCTTTTCATATCTAACAGAAGTAACATTCTGATTATGATAAAGAGAGAGAGAGAGAAGAAAAAAAATTATTTTTAAGAAAATGAAATTCACACCTCCTTCCGGAATTTCCACAGAACCATAGCAATATAAGGTTGATGGAGGCAAACAGATCTATGATTTCATATCAGAGCACATAATCTCATGAAACAGAAGTATGTTGCTTGGGTTAACAACCCCTCACTATAGTAATTGAACTTCTCATCGGGAGGACCAAATATCTGGGTTACGGTCACGGAAAATAGAATAACAACGAAGGGACTGAAATCAAATACAACCCGCTTTAAAAGGCCTATTAAAAATGCAGAGAAGTCAAATATTGAAGCGAGGGAGAAAGAGAGAGAAGAAAGAAAGAAAGAACACAACCAGGAATTTGTCTGCACAATGCCGAAGAACGGGGAGAAGAAAACAACCTCTTTGGGTATCGAATTCAGGAATTTCTTCTTTCTTTTGAAGGAGAAAAGTGACCTGCGTGTTTACTGCGCATTAGCCGCGACCTTCGTCTGACCTCTTCAAATCTTTGGAGACAGTCAAAAACAAATCAACAGCATTCCCAAGGAGGGCTTTATCCCTCTATGATATATTGGTATATGAAATGTGCCAACTCTGACAGACGAATATTCGAGGGGACTTCATTATCATGTTCAGCGCATGAATGTAACATATGGAGAGAGAGGGCAGTCTTCCTTGCTTGCTCGAGGAAAACGTTTTTCTTTCTTTCTTTCTCTTTCTCTCATGGCACCACGTTATGACTGACTTCATATTTATTCCTATTTTTCAGTTTCCTTAATGCTGCCTCTGCAAAATTTAGAATTTACCTATTAATCTTTAATTCTATAAATGATGATCAAATTTATTCCCCAGCTCTCTTCCCCTATACGACATTACATGATATAATATTATATATGTGCATACATTTGTCACAAAAGATAGGGTAAATGTAAATTAACAAAAAACATGTTTCATTTTATGTTACATGCATAAGATTCACAAATTTTTTTTTTAAATTAAAAGGAAGAAAAAGAAACAGTGAGTGCTTAAAAATTGTAAATTGAACACTTGCAATGTCCACACACGATTGCCTTTATTTCTACGCGTGAATTGACCTGAGAACCGACTTTGGTGTATGATGCGAAAGGGGCCTCTAAGATGCTTGATAGGAGAATGAAGACGAATCTAACTTCTGCTTTTTCAGGACAGTCTAATGGGCACTTCATTCTCGGGGAGGGATAAAAAGGGTCACTTTTTTGATGGGATGTCAATAAAAACATTGAAAGATGGATTTGTCCAGCTCTTGACAGCACATCAGAAGAAATCATCTGGATTTCCTGTCTCTTTACTACCACTTTCTATTTGCCTTTTTCGTTCTCGTTGTTCTTGACAAAAATGTCAAGATGATGGATGCATCATAGCTGATTTTAAAAGGACTTATTTCAAATATCAAAAAATTGGTAAAGATCATGTTGTCAAAACCTTTCCACAGAAGAATTACAGTAAACTGTTTATAGTAAATTTGAGAAAACATCATATATTGAAGCCTAGACTACTCAGGTGATGAGGGGTTAAAGATATTAACAATTTCTTTTTCACTTGATTTTTGTCAACAACAAAAAACATGGAAAAACTTCAATCTGAAGAGTCTCTATCTTCTTCTCAAGAAAGGACTCCCAAGACAATGGCTCTCGGAAATGCGCACAGGGTTCAATGCCCTGCCTTGAATCCCTAAGCAACGAAATAAAAAATAGTCAACAATGAGGAGAGAGAGAGAGTTCACAGACAATGGACACAAGTTTACTTATTCATCTTTCTTTATGTTTAGGATGATGTTTTTCCATTATCATACATAAAAAATTCCTCTCCAGGTTATTCAACTTCATAATGCATGCAAGATGAGTCAGCTAGTCTGAAAATACAGACTCTGTTTTTTTGCGGGAAAGCAATTGTAGGCATTGTGGCTGAAAAAGAGGCTATACAAGAGCACTTTTAAGATCAAATCTGAACAAGATCGAGAAAATCCGGAGAGGGTGATAGATTTTGGCAAGACTTATGTCTGATACGATCTCCATTAACCTTAACTAACTGCACATGCACACCTACTATCCCCTCTACCTGTTGTCGGGCAATGTTATTGAATATCAGCTAAACATATCAAATTACGAGTAGGAATATTCTATTCCTGATAGGCAATCCTTGCATCTCTCTTGTTGAGTTTTGTCTTTCTACAAGCGAATCAAGGTCAATGGCTGGCTGATGTTCACTTTGTTACTCATCACGGAGAGGAAATTAGGAGCTCAGCATTAGATGACAGGCAGGCATGTCAGCCAGAGAAAGGGGAGCGTGAATCACCGCGTCGAACGCCTCGTCCCCGGAGATTTGCCCCCCTCCCTCAACCCATACAGGTGATACGGCCCAGTGACGCTGCGTAAAGCCAAACCCAGCACTCCCGCAGTGCCTGCTATAGCGGTAGCAGCTAACATGCCAGGCAGGGAGCCGGGATACGAGAGCAGCCACTGCTGAGGATATCACCATAAGCTCTCCTGCAGCAAATGATAATAACATCATCTTCCATCCTTTACAGATTTAAATTCTAATTATTGACAGCCCTCCCCATTTCCCTTGCATAATAAGTCTACATCAGGTTTAGATAGTTCCTATGCCAGAAAGGCTTTTTTTAAATTTCTACAATGGAGCTCCAGATCAAAATTATTGTGGTTAGTATGCATGGGTGCCCTTTTTATGTTCTGAAACTTTGGGGGTCTGGCATTCAAATTTTGGTGTCAAATGACAGAATCCTGTTATAGTGTTGTGTACTTTGTATGTCCATATCATATTAGCTCATCAAGATAAATAAAGCTGATGCAGTATAAGTTCTAGAATCAATGTCCAGGTGAACATTATAGGTAGGAGGTTGGAGGAACTCCCAATACTACAATATGTCCCTTATCTCAACCTTTGATATATTTCATCCTGCAAAGCTATGAAGTTCCTTCAATGTAATCATCAGCATCATCAACATCATGGCTTTAAAAAGAGTTCTTAAAGAAGAGCTTGATTGCAAAATTCTTTAAATAAAGAAACTGTCCTTCTACAAAAAGAAATATGCCCTATATACCTGAACCTCTTGAAATCAAGATCGGTTCATTTCAGGCATTTTACCTGCTTGCCCACCCCACCACTTCATCGGTTACACCCCTCATGCAGTCTCCTTCATAAGGAGGGGAAGGAGGAGGACGATACATGGGCGGACCCCATCTCCTCCTAGTTTATCCAGTCCAACCTAGCTGATATCCCCCGGCTTTCCTATGACTTGAGTCCTAACAATCTGGGGCTGGGGGTGAGTCAGCCCTTTCATACACCCATTATCCACTTTCCGGACTTAAACCACCGTGACCAGTGATTACCTGTTTTACTCCTCCTGAACACAATGCCAGTGGCTGATTAAGTTAATACGCATTGTTATGATCAGGGCTTCTGACCTCATGCTTGTCCTAACCGTGGACCTACTAAGAAGGTAGGTCCATGTCCTAACCAACAGTTCAACCTTAAACCCCTGAGGAAAACAATCAAGATAGGTAACATCTAAATGCCATTTTGTTGTTGTTATGCTGTCAATAAAAAGATTTCACTTCTCTTATTAGTGAAGAAGTTTGTAGGTTAACATATCAGCCAACCTTCCTCTGCAAAAAATAGAAATCTCACATGTCGTAAGAAGAAGAAAAAACGGTACAATTGGATGGCTTTGACACAAAGGTCTTTGGAAAAAGAAAGGAATCTACATTTCACAAGTTTAGCTTGTAAGCCTCCAATAATAATGAGTAATAATTCTGGAACAAAAGGGCAATGGTACTCTTCTTGTTTTGGTATTTTCATATCGTTTTTGGAGATTGCCATCTAACCTTGGTAATTTAGAGGCTCTTTCATCCTCTCTTATTATCCTTCTATCCTGTATCTGTATCAAAAATATTCAAGTCGAACTTCAGCACCCTAAGGGTAGCCAAATCAGTGGACCGATCAATGTAAGATGATCTCACAGCCCCCATTCTTTCCCCTTCATTTTGACCTTTCCCTCCCATTCATAGCAGATATGCCTGCTTGGAGGTTGGAACCAGAAGGTAGTAGTTAACTCATATGCTTAACAGAGAATTACTCCCTTCTAGTTCTGAACAGAGGATATGATCCATGAGTCAACTGCATGGAAATAGAGGAAGAAGAAAAATGAAAGTTGGAATATTGAAGTAAAGAAAACGATGGAGTGGCTTGAATGAGATGAAAGGAAAAAGGGCAAGTAAAAAAAGTAAAAAGGTAAAAAAAGTAAAAAGGTAAAGAATGAAACCAGAGAGGCAGTAATTGATAATAAAAAAATCAGCAGTTATTCACAAGTCTTAGTATAAAGTGGAGAGAGATAATGGCATGCTTTGTTTTAGAGGCAGAAAAGGAAAACATTTGAGTAAGTTTAATAATTAAAAAATGAATTTTACAAATCTATTGAAGCCTACTTAAACAAAATTGATTAACAGCTCAGATAAACGCTTTTTTTAATTTTTAGAAGTTGTCATAAATATTCTTCCTGGGAATTCTCCTTTTCATCGGAGGATTTGACTAGGTGAATTTCAAAACAAAAAAAACTTCCAATTTGTTGATGATATGGTTACGCCTTTCTCAGGGGGTGACAGTGAGATTATTAATAGCCTTTGTTGAAAGCGATCACTTGATCCAAGAACGCGACTCGACAAATAAATAAGGGGGATTTTTTGGCCGCTGTGGGCATGATTAATAGGTCGAAGGGAAACAATGGAAGAAGCCATTGTGACATGGTACAATCCTGTTTGGCCATGTCCTGGGACCATGTCAACCTAGATCACGTCAAGTTGCTGACCTATTTTAGTTTCTTCCCCTCTCCTCCTAGTCCTACTACTTCCCTGTTCTCCTTCACTCACCATATCTTTACCTTTCTCTCCCTTCCTCTCTCTCTCTCACTTTCTGTCTCTCTCACTTTCTCTCCCTCTTTTTCTCTCTCATTCCCTCTCTCTCCATCTCTCTATCTCTTCCTCTTCCTTTCCCCTCTGTCCCTGTCTGTCTCCGTCTCTCTTTCTCTCTCTATCTCTTCCTCTCCCTTTCCCCATTTGTCTCTGTCTCTCTATCTCTTCCTCTCCCTTTCCCCTTTTATATCTGTCTCTCTATCTCTTCCTCTCCTCCCTTTCTCTCCTCTGTCTCTCTCGCTCTTTCCTACATATTCTAGTTCCCCAGCCATCAGGATCAGTGCCTGGGGGAGAGGGAAGCATATCTTGTCCTGTAGGACGACCTAGAGGAAAACTATAGATGTATTGATTAGGCTGCTCGGCCATCTTAAAGTCTCAATAATTGAGGTGATGACAGACATTTTAATGAGAAGCAATGTCGTTACACGAGAATCCCACCCGCAAGGTCCAAACAACGTACACCGGTAAGCTGATAAAATGGAAAGGGGACATGAATGGAGAATATTAACCATGACTCATTAAGATTTCTAGTTTCCTTCGTAGCAAACGGGGGAGAAAGATAACAGCAAAAGGAACACATTAACCACTGCCGTATCTTTTACAATCACTTGCACATAGGCGAGGAGAAAGGTCTCGCCAACGCGGATAGTGCCAAAGATCAATTAGTGATTGGTGAAATTTTTCTCATTTCAAAACAAACCGGAGTAATTCAATTAATTTGTTAGCATCTCACATGTAAAATGTTGTTAAGATCACATTAATATTGGCAGCTAGATGTTGACATTACCCACCAGTTCCTGCTTGAACCCTCGCAACATTTAAATGCACTTAAAAAATTGAAACCAAAATGTCTTGTGTTTCTTGAGGAGAGAAAAGGAAAGAAATTTATTTCCATGCTCCTTTAATCGCAAGAGTGTAGGAGTCATCTTCGTCTCATCTTTAGGTGAGGAAGATTGACTTTTTATGATCGAGCCAAGTGAGTCATGTCTCCAACACAAGAAGGTGAAAAGTGGGAGGAAGAAGAAAAAAAATCTTAGCAGTGAAAGAAGCTGAGAACAATGTCATCAGGCACCAAAGACAATATTTGGATTAGGAAAGACAGGTTAGACAATATTTTCTTTGCCTTAATTTGAAATTTGGGCTCCTCTTTAAAAACGCAGACGGTTATGAAGGTGATAAGAATCGGCTATAACTACAGGTGGAAATTAAGGCTGTCAAGACAATGAGTCTGGGCACACATGCAGTCTAGCTGAAAGGAGGGGATTCCTTCAACACTAAGCCCCCGTCAATGAGTTATCCCCCCTCTACTCCACACCTCACTGTCTCATCTATACCCCCTTATTGAACTGCGGTGAGGGTTTGGTGGGGGGTTAGGGAGACCAGGAGATGCCACGGTGGATGGCGAACAGCTGAGGGATTTTTTTTACCCCGGCAAATGTTTTGGTGAAAATGAACATTTCCAGGCATGGCGAGCACTCGAGAGATAAGCCCTGGTTAAGACGCTCTCCGTTTTTGCTTTTACCCCATGACAAACAAACGCAGGCATGGTGATATCACCAGTGCATGATACGAGGATCGTACCGTACCGAACCGACCCAGCGAAGAGAAGCGGGCAAGCCTGTCATTGGCTCAAGACGCCCCTACTTAGTCACAAAAGTGGACTAAAGCCTGTCCATGGCTTACCCCACCCCATTCATATGATGTACAACGATCGGCCAGTCTCAATGTCGTTGACAGACTAGATCAGGCGAAATGCGCAGAATGCACAGGCCCTGGTGGTGTGGAAATGGGGCAGCCTCATCACACATCACAACTCCATCCAAAGCCAGATTCGGGTGTTTCTTCAAGTAATCCCATATAGTTCTGTCATTGTCTTCTCCCCCAACGCCCTCTCTTAAAAGCGACGGCAAGCAATTCTCCCAGCCGATGAGAGACCCAGTGACAGACTGGCTTCGTATTGTCACAACACGTGCGGAGGATAAACTAACAACGCACTGTGCATGCAGTTACAAATCAAGAAAACCTGCAACACATTTCCTCACAACTACAAAAGTACAAGCACTTCCAGTCTCCCCTAACAAGTTCAGAGTCTTCAATTACATAGAATCATATTTGTTGGTACTGAATTTGTACTGAATTTCTTTTAATGAATCAAATAGAACATATTCAAATTTTCAAAAATTGGTGGGAACTACATTAAATGGTAAAGTCGGATTTCTTGATAACAAGCTTGTTCAGACCTCGTTACCCTCTTGATTGTTCCTTTACAATCTAACCAGATCTTGACACAGTCTGGATGAAAAACGATTCTTGATTTAATCAAAGTCATCACTAAATCCATCCTTATAGTTCCCCTGGATACAAGAAGCAATTACATCCACTGATATGCCCCATTGGAGACAAGATGGATTGCTTGTTATTGCTCAGGCTACTACAAGCCTTTATGATCAACACCAGAATGCTAAAAATTGATCAAATCTCAGGACAATTTGGAGGATGTTAGTGATAGAATTGCATTCCTTTTGGCATACCGCGGCTGGCATTTACTGTTCATTTCGATCTCATTTCTGATATCAGTTGATGTTACAGGGGGGAGATTACTCCTCTGGAGCTAGTAGCTTTGGTCCAAGGCAACGCGCTAATCAGCCACTGGAAGGCTTACGGCCTCTTCAGACTCAAGAAATTTTCACGATCTTGTATTTATAAAGAAACGTATAAAGGATCATCGTAAAGCAAACAGGGGTGCAAATGCTGGATCATTCAAAGGCATTATTTTGAAGAGGTCCGTTGACACCACAGCTGACCAACCATCAGTGTGTGATCATGATAAGCCCCGCCCAATTATACAATTATCGCACGATAAAACGTTAAGACTTGAACAGAACTCAAATTCTTTATGCATTTCATTATTAATAAGACGTTCTGTTGTTTAATGTTCAGACAAGAAAAAAAGTATTTACTTATCGTACAGCTAGTAGACATTTTCTCTGGTAGTCTGAACGGAGGTTTACTCCTGCTCCAGTCAATGAATCAATGGTATACAGGAATCTATTCCCAAAACACAATTAATTTGATTTGTTGGGGAGAATTTAGCTTCCTGTGCAGGTTAATAGGTAGTCAAATGTGAAGGATGCCACTAGTCTTAGTAAAGAATCTATTGCCTGATAAAGCATTGACATTGACTTGATAGAATCAGTGAGCTCATGATCAACTGTTTGGAAAGTAATAGTATGTGGGATTGATAGGTGCTTTCTAAGAATTTACAACTTCATAATAAATGTTGCGGAAACTGAAGAGCAAAGGGGAAAATCATCTGTTTGGAGCCAGATGGACAACAACTCTTGTAGTACAACATAGAGTTAATACTCTCAGGCTATGAACCTGATGAACTCACAGTTGGTTTACAAACATTTTATTAGTTGGAATAAAGATTTACATTACTAATGGTGGAACATTGATAAGCTTTAGTTTACAATTCTTAGTGCATCCAAATTAATCGTTAGAAGATGGAGCAAAGACACCAAGTATTTTCAGTTGATCTTTTCATTCCTTCACATAGTGACTAACACTGTTCTAGGTGTTGTTTTTTCTCTCCTGTCTAGTGTTTACTACAAATTGTACAAATAGTTGATGTTCACTTAAGATCTTATAACCCACTAGGAGTATATTATGAAATTGTCTTTGAAATAAAAGTAACAATTCCAATTTGTTAACAAGCCAGTTATGTGCTTTTCATTATCCTCCTACTTCAGATATCTCATTATATATTTTTTGTATTTTGAAGATTGTATGATATTGCTTTTATTTTGATGTGGAAATAAATATTTGAGTTAAATGAAATAAATGAAATTCTGGGCAATAGTCATTACAAATTATTAAGGATGCTTAAGTATTATAATGCTATTCATAATCATCATTTATTATCATATAAGACAATTCAATATAAAAGAAGATCTGCAAGGCTTTGACTATTATCATCATTGATCATTGAAGACAAATAAAGCTTTATAATACCAACTATAATCATTGATGATCATGATATGAGACAATTCAATATAGATGAAAGCTTTGTTCGAGACAAGGGATTACAGGAGGGGAGCTGGGGATTAATGGGAGGGTGGATTAGCAAGTCTGAGCACCTCTTTCCTGTCTCCTGTGGTAGACTGATGAGAAATGTTTGGTCGAGCTAGATGAATGTTTTAATCCTTTAGGTGACTGTATAATGCGTCACAAGTATAATGCTAATGAGAACAATGAAAATTGTGATAATACCAGATAAAACTTTTATCAATGAGTGATAGGATATTGATGATAGCACACTAAAGAGAAAGATAAGAGAAAGAGTATGCTATAATAGAACAAGAAAAAACATTTTATAGATTTGATGAGGCTGCCAACAGTACCATATATCTACCAGTCATTAGTATTGCCACTTTGAATTTTTTATTTAAGATCCACTATTGGCAATAAAACATTAGGGCACTACAGGAGTGTACCATTATACTATTACTCTACTACTTCTACAATATTTCTACTGATTTTGATGATGGTAATGGCAATAAATAGCTAAAGTACTAAACATAATAAATCAATAAACCATAACAAAATAAAGAAACCTTTATAAAAAAAAGAGCACTAAGACACAATACCTAATTTCTGCAGTAAAATATTTAAGATAATTATGTTTGTCAACTCAAAATGATAGGTTATCAAGAATACTTAGAATACTTAAATTTACAGAAAAATGGACAAAAAAGATTGTATTCAAATTAATTCTCTCCATATGCTGTACGCATGGTCACATACTCCATGCTTTAATAGTCCTCAATTTGGAAACATTCCTTTTTTTCTCTGTCTCTCTCTCTCTCCCGGCATTTATCAGATGAAGTAGAAGAGAGAGAGGGAGAGAGGGAGAGAGAGAGTGAGAGAGAGAGTGAGAGAGAGAGAGAGAGAGAGAGAGAGAGGCTTGGAACGAAATGCATATTTTGCGGTGATGGAGGAGACATGTGTTTAAGACATTAGTCTGATACAGCAATTAGATTGCGAGAGCTCATCAATAAGTCATCTTTAATTAATTCATCCTGAAGTTCAGATGTGAAGTGAAGCTAAGCTTTCTCTAATACACTTTAAAGGGAATCAATTTCAGGTTCCAATTTTACCTCTTAGGACAAGCAAATTGGATAATGTTGATTGTTACAAAATACTTGTGAAGTGGCTAAACTTGCAACAACAACACCGTGCAGGCATGTTGTCCATATGTTACAAACTAAATTTCAAAAGGAAGCAGTTTAGAAATTTGGATTCTTTTTAAATTTTAGTGTTACTAGTTTCATTGCTTTCTTTCTTAAGTGACCAACAATAACATT